AAAATGACATCACTGTCTTGGAAGATGTTTACAAGTCAGTCCCATTGTTGCAGTTTATGTGCACAGGCATCAAATGGGGTTTATGTAAAAACCAGTTTCATTCCTTTGGTTCTAGCTAAAACAGTAAAGCCCGTGGAACCGCTGTCACACGGGAAATGCAGGCTGTGACCTCGCGGGCGCAGTGTCCCAGGCCAACAAGGTGGCTTACAGAGGGTGAGTGCAGCCGTGCTCTGGGTTCTCTCTGCTCAAGGGAACTGCGACAGTTTCAAAGGCTGAAATTAAAGTACTTGGTTCACCAAAGCTTTGAGCGTGAATCCCGCTCACTGTACATAATAAAAATAAAGGGTCGCAGTAAGAAGAGGCCTTGACTGGTGAAGAAAATGGGAGTCCTTAGTAAATTCCGTCAGGCTTTATATCGACACGGATAACGCACAAATTCCTAACAGTGATGGACACGCATCAGCGCACCACAGGAGATGCTGGTTAGATTGGGAAGCAACTAGGTAGAGTTGCCAAGAATTTTTATTTTTTTGGTTTGAGGCATGTGAATAAAGAAGTTATCTGGTCACCCTTCCCCTCTGGAATCGGGCCATTTGAATGGAAGCGACACGCCTTGTGTGTGTGCAAGAAATTCAGTGTTCCTTACTGTACGTTGGTCAACAGCAGTGACCTCTCCCCTGGGGCGCTACGCAGCTCTTAACTGAGGAATGAGAGGGCAGGGGAAAGAAGAGCAAATTATTTCTCTTGGCATGAAGAACAATTTACACCTACGACATCCCCAAGAGGAAAAACTGTCACTTCACTCTACCCTTCGATCTTTAATAGCAACATTTTAAGTAGTTTCCTACTGAGTACTGTATGTCTGGGTTTAAGCTGAGGTATAAACAAATCGGGAAGATAAAATTTCACTCACCCTAGAATCTTAATCCATGTTTGCTCCCAGCTTCCATTGCTGCAGATTCCTGGTTTTGCCTTGGGACTTGGTAAGGGAAATGCCAAAGCTAAGTAAGTTCCACAACTCCACAGAAGCAGGGGCACATGTCAGTCCCCCAGGGCCATTAGTTTATGTAACCTTGGAAACAGCATGTTTGGAATACCCATAATGTACCTTCTTCATATGTCGGCGGAAAGAGCAAAGAAATACCCAGAGGAGATTTTAACGAACGAAAAGCCCCACCTCATTCCTTGAGTGCACTCCTGTATCTCAGGCTATGGAGTCCTCAGAATTCACTTCTTCAAATACTCTGCGGAGAATATAAATTACATTCCTAAGAAGGACAGAACATTAAGGGCAACAAAGACATGACATCTGTCAAATTATATAGGCTCTCATGGAATCTACACTCTCACTGGCTCTTAACCCCACAATTCAGTCCCTGTAAACTGACGTGCACACATGACAGGGGGTGAAGGCCCGCTTCCACCAACATCCACTTTGAGTCAAATAAGGACACTGCGGTTATAGGGGCCTGTTTGACAGTGTCCGTAATACAGATGCATAGAGCAATAGATTAGCAAAACTGGTGCTCAAAAGAAGGGAGCCACTGGACACTTTCTAATTTCTACTTAACAAAAAGAAGGAAACAAGCTCTGTTGGGAGCTCGGAACTTCAAGTCCCTTCTGAAACGCAGGGCCACTGCTCAGAGACAACAGGTAAAGGTGTTGCCAGAGTCACAGAAGTGGAATCCTGGAGCCGGAAGAGGCCCGAGAGCCCATCCAGACCAGCTCACACACAGGGAGGTGGAAACAGGCTCAGGGAAATGAAGGCATCTGCCAAAGGTCAAGGCTGGAAATCTACAGCCAGGGCCCCCTACAACGCCAGGCTGCCTCTTTGTCCCCGAAGCTCCTAGAGGGTCCAGATAGGTCACCAGGCATTAAGCAACAGAGATTCAGCAGAATGAGCTCTTCAAATAGCACATCACTCAGATTCCCAGAATCTGCCAGAAAATGTAAAAATCTGAGGCCGGAAAAGGCTGGTAGCGCCATGTTACCAGCCAGGGTTCAGTCGGAGCAGAGGCACCAGGAATGACACAGAATCGGGGACGGGGGCGTTGAAGGACTGACTTCGAGCACTTCATTACAGGTGCTGCTAAGAGAGCCCCAGTCGAGCTGTTCCTGGCGCACGTGAAGTCACCGGGCAGGCGGTCGGGAAAGAAGGGATGGCCGGGACGGCTGGAGCCCGCAAGCAACCCGCCGGAACCTGGCCTCTCGCCAGGACCCACGCTGGCCTGCCCCCTTCTCGAAGCTGCGGCCTCCTGCCGCAGAGGGCCTACAGGAGAAGCTCGATTCGTACCTGGCCCGCCATTTGGAAGAGCCGAAGGCAGGGTTCTGTGGGAGCCAGGGGAGCCGTGAGGCCGGCAGCCGTCCGCGAACGCGAGCCTGAGGTGCAGCAGGGCCTGACGTCGGCGACCTCCGGTGACGGAGCAAAGCTGCAGCTTTCTGTCCACTTCCAAACCTCACGCACATGGCTCTCGTGGCCAGGCCTAACCAGAAACGAACAGGGAAGGGGACTGCAGCAAACAGTCCAGCTCAGCCAAGGTGACGATGTTGCAAGACCACCCCCCATGCCATAACGCACTAGAATTCTTTAAAAAAAATACTGAATATTGTTCTTCTCTGCTTCTACCCAGTAATGAGCAGCCTTGCTACTTAGGACCCAAACGTAAGTTATTCTCATTCTAACTTAAAAAAAAATTTTTTTTACATTACATCGTTAGTTTTTGGTGTAGTGTTCCATGATTCATTGTTGGCGTACAACACCCAGTGCTCCATGCAGAACATGCCCTCTTTAATACCCATCACCAGGCTAACCCATCCCCCCACCCCCCTCCCCTCCAGAACTCATATTTTTTCCAGGAAGCTCTACACACAACATGGGGCCTGAGCTCAAGAGTCGCATGCTGTGCTGACCAGGCCAGCCAGGTGCCCGTCTAACTTCTTTGTAAGCAGAAGAGTTGGCTTTTGAGTTGGGTGGCGAGCTGGCTGGCTGGCTGAGAATGTTCTCATGCCATGGTCAGTCTGCCTTCCTGCCACGCTCACACCATGAACTGCTAAAGCACAGTGAGCAAGCTCCGTCCTCAGTAGGCTTGGTCTGCGTCTCATTTTATTCGTTCTGCGCTTTAGTTGGTAAATTATACTAAGTGCAGTGATGGTACGCACCTGATCCCTGAGCTGTTTTTGTAGCTCTTCGTTCTCTGAAAGCTGCAAGCAGGGCTGGGTCTGCACACTCCAGGAACTCAGAAAAAGACAACGAGGGTGATGGCTTAAAAAAGCCACTTCCTGTCAGTCTTGGCAAAGAGAATAGAAGTATTCCTTGTATTATGTTTTCAAAACATAATTTCTGCCGGTTTGAAATTAAAAAAAAAGAAAACAGTAACGAGCACAGGTGGCACCTAGGCTAGCTAAAGCCGATCTTAAAACGTATTGTGAAATGATATCAAAACAGTAGAGAAAAATGAAGAACTGCATGAAACAGTGGGGAGAAAGACGAGTGGATGAGAATATAGTTCAGAACTAGCTCCTCAATCATATGGAAATGTGAAGCACGACGGAAGGGGTTCTGCGCGTCAGCGGAGGGAAGACGCATCATTCAATAAACGTGGCCACCCTCCCCTCCGTGACATTTGCTAAAATAACCTTAGCTATTAATAGGTTTCTAAGAAACAAAACATCTTTCTGGATTTGTACCCATGAATAAATTGCTCTAGAAATGGTTTAAGACCCAGTAAAATCCTGACCATCAAAAGGCATTAGAAACACAGCCTTCTTTGACCAGCGTGGCCCAACAAAGGTTAAAGGGCAAGTTCCTCCCTCCCCAGCTCATGGCTTCCGAGCCCTCCATGACACAGGCCACTTTACTGCCTCAGGCTGGACATCTCTAGCCCACCTTCCTAATGGGGAAAGGAAAGCATCAGTCTCCAGGAAGGCAGAAACGCCATGTGAAGGTTGCCCCCTGACGGAGGGGGACGCTGCCTTAGCCTCTTCCCTGGGCTCTGGTGTCCACCTGGTCTTTCCAGCTCAGAGGGATGAACAATCTTGACATTTTTGGGTTGCTCCTTTGAAAATCCTAGAAGCTGTTTTTTTTTTCCCCCCCCCGTGTCCGAATTAAAAATTTTTTTCCATTTAGCTTCGAATGCTCAGGTTTCTTCTGTCATCCAGTTGTCTTATGTCCTACGTTTTATCCTGGGTACAAAGAATCTTCCAAAATAGTATGTTTAAAATCTGAGATGAGAATCAGATCAAGTTTACCAGAGAGATGCTAAAGTAAGTGGATCAACTTTAAGGTTATAAATATACCAAAGGCTGTTTCTGACATCGAAAAAACACCTTCTGAAGTTTAGAGGATTTAATAAAGGGAGCGAGGTGAGTCCTGACAGGATGTCCTGGCCCCAGAGGCGACCCCGTTGCCCCAGCTCCTGGTCGCAATGTGCCTGCCTCCATCTGTCCCTCCATTCTGTTTCTCTGTGTCGTCAGTCTTCTCTTCCCTGGGGACAGTTGATTTGCGCACTCCTGCACTAAGTACTTCTGTGGTTACTCAGGTGGCTTCCTGTCCTAAACTCCCAGCAGTTCAGCAGGAAACAAGGGCCGGGACCACAGAGCCCTGTTTGTAGTCGGGGCACAATGTTAGGCGCATCAAGTGGGTTCGATACACGCCCGCTGCAGGCATTTCAAAGGCTGCCTAACGCTGCAGGGTTGCCAGGCTAGTAAAATAAATGTGGTTAAAACTTTCTTACAGAAATTGGGAGTCTTGCCAGTGCTGATGTAATAAAAAAGAAACCTAAACCACATCTGCATTAAGGAAACCAGTTATCAGTGGGAGATGAGCCCGATGAGGGTGTTCAAAGGAAGTCCTCAGTCTCCGAGGACGACACACGAGGGACACCATAACCCAGCACACAACAAAAACACCAGTGGTAAGCCCCGGCAGGAACAGGGTGCCCCAGATAAAGACCTGATGTGACGTCAACAGAGTAGGAACAGTAACAACACAGAGACTTAGATTAAATTAGCTCTTTATGTTTACAATTCATAACGTGGAAAGCCTACTGAGTAAAATTTCACAAAGGCATCGAGGACACAGAGCTTCTTAAAACATTTCTCCCCTTCTCTCTGTAGTTTCACTCTGCAAGCTAGACTTGACAATATACACTCTCGATTAAAAAAAAAAAAATCTAAACAAAATAAAAAGAATTCCCAACACAGTTCTGTAATAAATTCCTAATAATTCAAATGCTCCAACTTCGGTTAGCACCGAGAATTAGTTTGGTTCGTTTTGCAAAGGGAAAAATGCATCAAGGCAAGGGGACAGGCGGGGCAGGATCAGACTTGCAGGCCAGCCGGGCCGCTTCACAGCCCTTCCGGGAGTCCCAGAGCCTCCAAACAGCTTCACGATCCAGTCACCTCCCGGGACTTTGGTTCCAAACGTCCTCAGGGCATTGGCGGTGCCAGGCTCTGCTCCCACAGAACAGCAGCCCGGCCGGAGGGGAGAGGCGGCTCTAGAGCTTGAGCTCTCGCTCTGGTTTCATGCTGAAGGGCTCCAACCTTTCGCTCTCCGGCAGCATGCCGTTGAGCCGCTCCATCAGGGGCACAGTCTGGTCAATGCCCATCTGTATGCGGCGGAGGATGGCCGACATCTCGTTGACTTTCTGGATCTGCTCCGCGTATTTGGCGTATCTTTTCTGGCGCTCTTGCATGAAGCTGAAGAGAGTTTCTACAGACAAATCCATCTGTAGAGGGAGGAAAGAAGGGAAATACGTTAAACCTAGTTGAAGCAAGTCCTCTCCAGAGGACCAGGTGCCCAGCACGAGTCCCACGGGCCAAATGGAAGCTGACCGGCTCAGCGTTGTCAACTGCTGCCCCCCAGTCATCTTTGGAGGGGGACTCAGAGATGACTGCTTCTGGCTCTGTTTTGGGCATGTGGGCCACTTATAGACCTTGTTGAGACCCTCAGATTTTTTTCCCTCTCTCTCAAAGAATCCTGGGCTTGGAAATTAGACTAGCGTTTGAATGTGGCTCTGCCACCTCAGTTGATAATACTTACCTTTTTTTGCACATCTGCAAAAAACAGGGACCTAGGGGCGCCTGGGTGGCTCAGTCGGTGAAGCGACTGCCTTCGGCTCAGGTCATGATCCCGGAGTCCCGGGATCGAGCCCCGCATCGGGCTCCCTGCTCGGCGGGGGGTCTGCTTCGCCCTCTCCTGCTGCTGCTCCTCCTGCTCATGCTCGCTCTCTCTCACTCAAATAAATAAAAATCTTAAAAAAAACCAAACCAAACAGGGGAACGGATTCCCCAGCTGTGAGGATGGAGTGAGAGAACACACCCAGCACAGGACCTGGCATGGCTCAGAGGTGCTTCACATTTGTCACTCCTCCCTGTCTTCCGTGAATGGCTGCAGGGCAGTGGCCCCTTGGGGACAAGTGCAGGGAAAGGGCTGGCTTTCTCTGACAGCCAGGGCTCAAGTCCATACCGCGCACCACACTGTTGTGAGGCAAACTGCTCCATGCACTCCCTCCCCCAGTTAAACAAATGTTAGGCTCTGTGCTCCCCTTTTGTGACTATGTTCTTCCCCTGGGGAAGTTTTTTTGGAACCTGTCACCTGGATAAAAATAGGGGGCGGGAACGTCCAGCCTGTCAGGTGTCTATACCCGCCCCTCCTGTGTAGGGAAAAACACAAACTACCAAGACCCCAATTTCGACCCTTAAGTTTGAGTTCAAATGCTACTTCAGCCCCTCGTTCTTATCCACTCCAGGAGTGCATATGCCCCTGTCCCAACGCCCAGCCTCATGCAGAGTGATGGCACCTAATACATGTTACCAGAGCCTCTGGAAATGGTGTGATAAAAACCAACCCATGGGGCACCCGGGCGGCTCAGTCAATTAAGCATCCACTCTTGGTTTCAGCTCAGGTCATGATCTCAAGGTCGTGAGATCAAACCCCACATTGGGCTCCGTGCTGGGCACGGAGCCCGCTTGAGATTCTTGCTCTTCCTCTCCCTCTGCCCCTCCTCCCCTCCCTCCAAACAAACAAACAAAACACCGAACGAAACAAACAAACAGGAGGAGACCAAAGCCATCCCCAAGAAAAAATAACTAGTTCTATTTTTATACTGTTTGGGGGGGGGGGCGGGCGGGTGTGGAGAGAAGGATGGCGAGTAAGGAAGGTGTCAGAAGAACTTCGTGCTTGTTTTTTCTATGTTGGTTCTTTCCTCACTTGTTTTGAAATGCTCAGGGGACAAAAAAACAGCTAGTGGGAGGAAGGGTGGGGAGGGAAACAGCCACCTTCCGATACTGTGGAAGCAATTTATACCTTCAGATGGTTCTCTGCAACCCTGTTCCGTCATTCAGCACTTTGAAGGTAGTGGGCTAGTAAATTATAGTGTTCCTGAGAGCCAAGCACTGGGCCTTTTCAGAATGGCAATTCAATCCAGCACCTAGAAACACTCCACCTTCCAACAGACAGTGGGTGACCTGGGAGCTTGCTGGAATCCTCATAAGAACCAGCAGAGCCCACTGAACCACCTGCTCCAGCATTCAGAACCATCTGGAGTTACCACATTTCACTTGGCAGGGCCATTCCCATCCTCCCCACAGCCAACTCTACCAGACTAGACAAACACCTGTAAGTTTATCTGAAACGGCCTCCAAGACTCTAGCTTATCATGTCTTAGGGCCTGGCAATCAACCACTCCCCGGATTTACACTTGATCAGACAGCGGTATTTGTTCAAATGACATATACGCGCCCACACATCTCCACATCTGACAGGGGCCCATGTTTGATGTATCCAGAGCTTTTGCCCAAATCCACTTCATGTTTAGTGCCTGGGGGAGCACACATAATTCGAGCCTGCTGTTCACACACACTGACAGTATGTCTCTCAAGAGTCAGTTCCCTGACAGTCCATGGAGAAAAAAAAGCACAGAAGAGGAAACCTGAAGCTGAGTGACCTGTGAGGTCTCACAGCGACAGAACCAAAACTAGAAGCCAAACCTCCTCAGTCTAGCATCTTCCTTTCACCCGTATTCCCCGAGCAAGAGAGTGTACCATTAGATTCTAGTTGGTGCATGGCATTAAAGAACATTGAATTGCATGATGGAGAAGTTACTGCCTTTTAAACCTTTCCCCCTTCTTTCTGACTGCTGCCAGGAAAGTCTCGAGTTGGTGCAAGTAAGACTTTTTTTTTTTTTTTAAAGATTTTATTTATTTATTTGACAGAGAGAGACACAGCGAGAGAGGGAACACAAGCAGGGGGAGAGGGAGAGGGAGAAGCAGGCTCCCCGCCGAGCAGGGAGCCCGATGCGGGGCTCGATCCCAGGACCCTGGGATCATGACCCGAGCCGAAGGCAGACGCTTAACGACTGAGCCACCCAGGCGCCCCAAGGTGCAAGTAAGACTTTAAAACCCGGGGAAGTGTAACAAAACTGGCGATGCCTATTTCTCACGTCCCTGCCCTTCGCTCTCTTGAGGCAACACGGCTGCTGCTCCCTGTTGCCTCCCTCCGTGTGTGTACAGACGTACTCCAGCACATCTGACCAGGCTTCAGGCAGTAAGACAGTATCCAATGCAATTCCGAATCTTACCATTTTGACAATCTGGAACATATCCTTATTTACCTTTCCTATTTCTATTTTTGGCACAGAGATTCTAATGAGGAAGCAGATAGATAATACACACAGTCAACAGACCTATGCTGGTACTACGGTGTGCCATCCCGCACGCAAGGCCCTGGGGACACAGATACTGAGAACCACCCTGTCTGTACCCCACACAGCTTACTGTGCACATTAACATGACTTCTGTTTTCCACTGTCTTTGTTAACGTATCTTGACTCTTCCAGAAAACAGGCCCAGAAAGGGAAATGTTGCAAATAACTTTGTTTCAGAAAAACCATGTAAGTGAAAAAGCTATTAGATTTTCCAACAGACAATGACTGCTTACTTTCCCCAACCTTTGCCTCAAAACCCACACCTTGCTATCATCACATGACTAAGTTCTAGTCAGAGGTACGTATATGTGGCAGTCTCTCATGGCAGCTTCTGGGTATCTTCCTTAAAACTCAGCTGGCAGAGACCCTGCTCCTCCTTCTTCAGCCCTTCCCTCACTCTGCTCCTGCAGGAATGCAGATGCAGCCCCCTCAGACGACGAGAATAAGTAAGGTCACATCCTAGGGTTGGTAGAGCAGTGCACTAGAAGACTAGGTCTATGAGGACTTTTGTGGATGAGAGTAGTACCAGGCCTGCGAGAGAAGAAATTTCCATTCTGTATAAGCCACTGTGATTTTGGACCTCTGTAACACCACTTGCCTTTAATCTTATACTGGTAGAAATGAATGAGATAAATTCCCTGCCCTCATAGAACTCACTGTTTACTCTTAAATTCATACCTCAAATGTTGCCTCCTAGGACATGAACATACTGTCTCTGATGCCAGTACACTTCAAAGGACAAGTGAAAAAGAAGGTGAAATTATTTGTGGGTGTACCTACAGGCTTTACTAAGACATGAGTTATCTGTAGAATGTGCTCAAACTTGTTCCAAACACCTTATTTGGATAGTACAGCCTAATTGCTCATCTGGGCAGTGCACTGTCAGAAACATCCAAAATATTAGCAAATCAACCCAACAACGGTACATCATAACCAAGTGAGGTTTATCTCAAAGATGCAAGCCTTTTCATCCAAAAAACAAAGTAATTTGCCATTTCAACAGAATAAAGGTTAAAAATTATATAATCATTTTGGGCGCCTGGGTGGCTCAGTTGGTTAAGCAACTGCCTTCGGCTCAGGTCATGATCCTGGAGTCCCGGGATCAAGTCCCGCATTGGGCTCCCTGCTCGGCAGGGAGTCTGCTTCTCCCTCTGAGCCTCCTCCCTCTCATGCTGTCTCTCATTCTCTCTCTCTCAAATAAATAAATAAAATCTTTTAAAAAAATTATATAATCATTTTAGTAGATGCAGAAAAAGCATTTGACAAATTCATTTATGAAAAGTTTTGAAAATCTGGAACAGAAGGAAACTTCCTCAACCTAATAAAGGGCATTTATGAAAAACCTACAGTGAATATTACAGCGGTAAAGGACACTTTTCTCTCTAATCAGGAACAAGGCAAGGATGTCCACTCTCATCACTTCTTTTCAACACTGTACTAGAAGTCTTAGCCAGTGTAATAAATCAATACAAGGAAATAAGGAAATAAAGGCATAGGAACTAGAGAGGAATACATAAAAGGGTCTTCATCTGTAAATGACATGACAGTGTACTTAGAAAAATCTTAAGGAATCTACCAAAAACTAATAAAACTAACAAGTGAGTTTATTAGCAAGGTTGCAAGATAGATGGCCAGTATACAAAAATTGATTGTATTTCTGTATACTTGCAATGAACAACTAGACAATATAATTTAAACACTATTTACAATTGCACCCAACAATTACTTAGGGAAAATTCAACAAAATATCTACAAGACCTGTACACTGATAATACAAAACTCTACCATGAAAAATTAAAGGTGATCTCAAAAAATGGATAAGTATACCATGTTCATGGATTGGAAGATTCAATATCATTAAGATGTCAATTCTTGCCGAGAGCCAACTGCAATCTGAATCAAAATTCTAGAAGGAATTTTTTGCAGGGATTTGATAAGCTGATTCCATGTACACAAAATGGCCAAAAGAATTTTTTAAAAACCCCAAAGTTTGAAGACTTACAGTACTTGATTTCAAGACA